TAAATTATACTGATACGAAACTAATTCCTGACATACATTCCTTGGCTTTCTCTTTAACATGTATTTAGCAATTTATGTTTGCAGAAAAATATTGGATAAATATTGAATTATTCATTGCACGAAAAAATATCAAAGAAACTTGTTCCCCAGTGCAAAGTGTGCAAAATTAATAAACAGAGTAAAATGCAATATTGTAATATTTAGAAAATAATTACGTTGACACGTTCTTTACTTTCACGTTGGGGATACGACGAATCACGAATGGATTGCACATTGAACTTACCGTAAAAAGAAAGATATTCAACATTGGGTCGCGTAGCACCGTTCTTATCGGCGCGTGTCTCGCATACGAAAGTTCAAGAGAAAGACTTTCTGACACCCTGACGTGATTTGGCACCATAAAGAAAAGATTTTTCTATTTAATTTCCCTCAATTACCTAATTTCTTTCACAGTTCTGTTTCCATTCTCTTTATAAGAATTAAATGCTGAATAACTTTTTGCGATAAACAATTTTACTCAACAATTAATTATGTATATAGAGAAACAAATAAATTCTAAATTATAAAGAAAAACAAATAAATTCTAAATTATAAAGAAAAACAAANCTAACACATATCAAAGAATTTCCCTTCCACGTAGCATTTTTTTTTTTTTAATATTAGCAGAGATTTTACTTTTAGGATAATAAAAAGAGAACGAATAGATAAAAGTATCGATAAGACTCGAGCGTTCCTGACTTTCATTGCGCAACGGAGAACGCCTCACTTAGTAAAAAAAAAAGAAGAATCATCGTCATTCGTTTTCTCAAAAATCTGAGACGTAGATTTCAATCTTTTATTGTAAAAAATAAATGAAATCCAACTCGTTCTTCACTTTGACACTGTTTTGAATGGATCGCGGTACTCGGAAGCGACGAAGGAGGTCAACCGAACGCGGTCTGCGTGCGGAGGAAGCGCGCGGTCTCTTTCACCGCGACGCTCGCAGTGGGGTCAAGGCTAACATCGGGCAAACGGAGCAGGAAACGAAACGGAGATGCGAATCGTCCGAAACTGATACAGATATGCGCCTCGGTTTACCAAAAGGGGCACCGGGCGCAGTGAACACCGTAAAAGACGAGAGAAAGTATCATAGCGATGCTTCAATGGTCGAACTAGCAGTTTGTCCCGCTACGAAAGCAGGCAGAAAGAAACGCTGCACGCTTCTAGACTCTTAATTCTCACTCTGCCAACAATGCGCCTGTAAGATTTCGTTGGAACGAGCTCACTGCACTTCCGTTTGATCACACGATTCTTACAATAAACCTAACTGGCCTCAAAAAAACATTGACGTTACAGCAGATTTTTATGTACAATTTTTTTTGTACTGATTTAAAAGCTTGTCGATAAATATCAAAGAACAAGAAAACCAACAATGCATTTT